ACCTCACAGCATGCCCATGACACCCCCGGTTGGGACGGCAGGTGACCCCACACCCCAGCTCTGCTCACCTCGCCAGCCGCTGCCCATCCGTCCGGTCCACTCGGGCCCCCACAGCACAAACACAGCTCTGCTGGCCCCTGAAGCAGGAAGGAGAAAGAGGAAGGGTGTCAGGGCACCAAGCAGCAGCAGGGGTCCCCGTGCCCCCTGCAATTCCCCCTGCCCAAGCCTCTCGACCAGCAGGGCTGGAGCAGGCAGTGCCAGCGTGGCACAGGGGGTGGCAGGGGAGCCCGGTGGTGGGGATGCTGCTCCCAGCACCTAGGGAGGGCTGTGGGAGCCCAGGAGAGGTGATGGGGACAACAGCCCCCTGTGGGGACCTGCTGCTGCTGAAGACACCAGAGCAGTGATAACAAACCAGGCAGGGATACCTGGGACATTTCAGGGCCCCCCAGCTGCAACCAGCCAAGGCACAGCATCCCACCCAGCAAAATTCCCCTGGGACGTGCAGGTCAGGGAAATGCCACTGGGGACAGCCAGGTCCCCATACAGCCACAGAAGGGACACTGCCACTGCTGGGGCCCCCAGCTTGGTAGCTGATGGGAGAAGGGACTCCATCTTCTCCCTCCCACAAGCCTCCACGTCCTGGCGAGAGGGTCCCACTGCCACCCAAGGCAGGCAAGCACCCAGAGAGGAGGGCTGGCCAGCCTGGCTGGCTGCCAGCGCCCTACAAAACCCTCCTCCAGCCACCCAGTAAAACCAGTCAGCAACTGGGGGCGGTGTCACCACCAGTCACTCCGGCCGGAGTGCAGAGAAGCCTGATCCCAGCGTTCCGACCCCAAAATGGCAAGAGAAGGCTCAGCCCCTGCTTGGCCAGACCCCCACCCTGAGCTGCTGGACCATCGTGCTTCAATGGCACCCCAGGGCCTGACAGGGCAGGAGAAGCAGCCCCTCATCCCTCCCCACACACTTGGTACATGTGGGGTGGACACCCCACTGTGCCTAGATATGGCCACCCTCTTAGCCCCTCCACATCCTGTGAATCCTGGGCTGGTGCTGTCCCCCTTGTTCCCCTCCTGCCTCCCCCCCACACCACAGTGCCCCAGTGAGCCCAGACTGCCAGATCCCATGGCACCCCTTGGTTATCGCTGCCCCACAGATCCCCCAAAGTGCCCTTAAAATACACCCAAAGTTCCCTGTGACACCCCCAAAGTGCCCTACAGAGCTCAGGGGCCTGAACTGCCCCACAAAGGCCCCAAAGTGATCCAGAACACCCCCAAAGTGCCTTACTGAGTCCAGTAGCTTCTGCTGGCGAACAGATCCCCCAAAGTGCCCCTAAAACACCCCCAAAGTGTCCCACAGAGCCCCAGGGCCTCTTCTGACCCACTGCTCCCCTGAAGTGTCCCTAAAGCACTCCCAAAGTGCTCCAAAACACCCCTAAAAGCGTCCCACGGTGCTGCTGGGCCTGTGCTGCCCCACAGCTCCCTCAGACTGCCCCTAAAGCAACCCCGAAACGCCCCGCGACCTCCCAAACTGCGCCACAGAGCCCCTGGGCCTCTGCGTCTCCAGAACACCCCCCAAAGCGCCCCTGAGACACCCCCAAAGCGCCCAGCACC